AAAAAAAATGCAATATGTGTGGGTTGTAACCACCACCGCACAGGGGGTCGCATTGCTTTTTTCTGTGATCAATCATAATGTGTGTTCGCATGTGTAGCCAACTCATGACCCTTTTGACTATGAACATTAAATCACATTTGTGTGCAATTTATTCATAACTAAATTAGAGAGAAAATTATATTTATTTAATGATAGTGAATAAGAGAGAAGAATTAAAAGTACAAATATAGTTTTTAAAATTTTAAAAATAAAAACAAATATTTATTAAAAAATTAAGAAAATAATACTTAGTAATCTCAATTTTTAAGAAAAAAATCAATAATTAATAGGGGAAATTGCAGTTAGATGATTGAATGAATTTCAACATTGTAGACACTTGAAAACTAATATTAATTTCAACACTGTAGACACTTGAATGAATTTAATTAAATAGTTGTTAAAATTAATAGAAAAAATTGTAATTTAATTACTTGTAATTTGAGGTAAATGTATATAAAGATTTAAGATTTTAAATTAATGTACATATATTATACTTGTTGTTTTGGGTATGAAAAATAATCTATACACTCTTAGTTCAACATATTTTTTAACATGTTTTTAATTCAATCATTAAAAATATAATATAAATACAGTTGATTCAATCGGTTCTTACATGTTATATGTATAATTATATTTTTAAAGTTATTTACTTTTAATTTCAAACTTAAAAACAATAATTTCTTATTGAATGTGTTATGCAATGTGTTAAATTGAAATGTATACTAATCACTATCCTTTAGGTATATATATGCAAAGAAATACCTATGTTATTAAAATAAGCACATAAACATCTAGATTTTGCATGTGGTGCAAATAATCACTCACACATTGGCCTAGAACATTTAAAGAAACTTATTTTTTAGAGTGCTACCTCCAAAACTTGAATTTTAAATCTCATTTAAAAAATAATATTTACTTATCAATAGATCCAATTCTTTGGTTGATGTTAATTAAAGATCAATAACATAATTATAATATATATGAGATGTGACATGTGGCCTTGCGAAAGACACCTTATATATACTTCTTTTATGATGATAACATGATTATAATATGTATTATATTAACAATATTAAATAAGGTCACGGAACGAACATAACATGTGACCTTGTTGACAATAAAGTGAATGGCCAAAAAAAGAAAATGACAATAGAGTCTAATAGCTTTTGAGTAATTAAGGTACTTGAGAAATCAGAAACAAATTCTAATATTGTACCTTGATTAACTTTTTAATAATTAGAAATATTAGACGAATTTATCTTTAAAAAAAAAGAAATACTTTAAACTTTAATTTAAAGATAAAATTTTAAGTGTGTTTCTTTGATTAAATAAAGCAAAAACTTTTAAAGCGAAAATGATATACTTATAATATTACATTGTAAATTTGTAATTTTAATTAGTTATTAAATAAATAGATGTATAAATATTATAGTGAATCTCTAAATAAGAGCTAAGTTTTTAATGATGCGTAAGGATTATAAACTTATACTGCAACAAGAGGCTTATACTGATATTATTTTTGTTTTTAAAGTAAGATGTCATTTTTGAATTAGAGTAAGTTTTACAACTCTTTTTTTTTTTTTTTTCATTTTTTGAGACGTACAACTCTTTTAATAATAAAGTTGACATCATATATGGCAGGGTGCAGGAGTATAGGATTCATGCATGTTTAAACTAAAAGGAATTTATCTGCCATGAGGTCACTTTTAACACTGGTGCATCAGATGTGACCCTTTCTACGTACACTACTGTAGGAATTGGATATTCAGACTGAACTATCGGTCCGGATATATTATAAATCAGTCTGAATATATATATACGGACCGATATTAGTCCTTATAGTTGATTTGAAAAAACCTGGTACGAATAAATATAATATACAGACCGACGTATAATCGGTCCGTATATATATACTATCCGGACCCAAATCGGTCCGGATATTTCAATAAGAAATATAAATGATTATTGAGAAATTGAAATAAGCAGACCGAAATTGGTCCCAAAAAAATAAAAAAATAAAATAATAAAATATGTACGAACCGACAACGGTCTGTAACTGTGGCGGAAAGAGGCATTGCAAATATATACGGACCGGGATCGGTCCGAATATGGAGGACCCAGCTGCAACTTTTAAAACTTGCAATTATATCCAGACCGTTTTCGGTCTGAATATATTGGACTTGCCTGCAACTTTTAAAAGTTCCGTATCCCGACGGGCGCCATTCTCAAACTATATCTAGACCGTTTTCGGTCCGAATATTATGGACTTGCTTGTAACTTTTAAATGTTCCATCTCCCAACCGGCGCCATTCTCAAACTATATCCAGACCATTTTCGGTTCGAATATTGTGGACTTACTTGTAACTTTTTAAAGTTTCGTCTCCTAACCGGCGTCATTCTCAAACTATATACATACCGTTTTTGGTCCGAATATTATGGACTTGCTTGTAACTTTTAAAAGTTTCGTCTCCCCACCGGCGTCATTTTCAAACTATATCCAGACCGTTTTCGGTCCGAAAATATCTTTGAAGAAAAAAAAAATAAAAACAGTAAAAAATAAAGAAAACATATTTATTTTATTTAATAATTACACAATATTACCAAATAATACAAAAATAAATTTTACAAGTCAAAATAAATGCATATTGAAAGTTCTATTATGTTTACATGGTTTATCTGGCATGCTTAAAAGTTTTACCCAAGGGCTATCCATATTTACTTACTGAGTTATCTCATAGTTTTTCCTTGTCCACCATTTCAGGAAGCGAAGTCAAGGATGGGGAAACCGAGGGGAGTGACGATTTAGAAGGCTAGTCAATTGTAATCGATATAGATTTGAGATAATGATCATGATCTTGTAATCTAGAGTTTAATTGGAGATTTTATGAATTCATTTAATGGATTGT